AAAGTAAATAAATTCTAAGGAAATTTTTAATGTTAATGTACAATTTTCAAGATTATTTGTTGAATTTCAATGCCGAAGTGAAAAAAATGGGAGCACAGCGTTAATATATGTTTTTAATTTAATTCTAAGGGCATCAATATGAAACATTTTTCCAATCACCCAATATTGCAAATTAAATATAAGTCTATGTTGAAAACTCCATATTATATTAAAATGTTTGACCATTTGTGAAAATTTTTGACCAGAAGAAGTGGACCAATGAGTTCCAACTTTGGACTTGATCTAGGCATGGTAAAGATAATAGGACATGCAAAGTTTGGTTCATAGCGGATATTCTATTATCCTGATATTGGATTTATAAATATTGAACATTTTTGGTAATTTGTGCGGGAGGTGCCAGAAGGGATAGACTAATAGGTCCCATCTTCCGACTTGATCTAGACCTCGTAAAGATAAGGGGTTGTGCATTTTTCGATTTTTAAATATTAAACATTTTGATCATTTATGGAGGAGGTACCAGAAGGAGTGGACCAATGGGCCCCATTTTTGAACCTTATCTATGCTAGATAATTATTGCAGGCTGGGCAACATTTTGTTCATATCGGACATTCCATTCGCCTGATATTGGAATTACAAATATTTAAAATTTTGACCAGAAGGAGTGGACCAAATGGTCCCATTTTCCTACTTGATTTCTTAAAGTTTAGTTCAAATCGGATAGTCCGTTCGCATGATATTTTTAAAATTAATTTTTTGCACAATTTCGACCATTTTGTGGGGGAGGTACCAGAAAGAGTGGACCGATATTCCTCATCTTCGAACTGGAACTACGTCTGGAAAAAATATTAAGATGTGCAAAGTTAGGATGAAATCGATTACTCCCTACTTGGGTTATGGTGCGCCCAAGTCGGTCCGACAGACATTTGTAAATCGACTCCGAATTGCCTGAAACGGATTTGGTCCACAGAACATGGGGTTTAAAACCAATATTTCGATGAGGCACATTTTCAGCTTATCAATGTGTATATACCCTCATTAGCCATAAGGCTGAGGGCAAAATGTTGTTAAGAGCGACTGGGCGGAATTTTGTATTCCTACCATCATAAAGTAAATCTTTAAAATTCCTAAAATCGATCAATCCTTTATAAGGAATATATATCAGAAGGAATATATATAAACTATATTTTCTGCGAGGAGGTTTTTATACCTACTTGAAGAAGTCTTTAAACTTTTCAAATACCAAAAATTAAACCTTTATTTATTGGCGACCAGCAGAGAGCCTTGGAAGATGAAATAAAAAATTCCAAAAAAATCTATTTAATTTTTACCGCTACATTACCATTTGGTAACGAAAATAGTTCCCTTCAGTTGCAGTTCAAAAAAGTGCTGTATATTTGGTACTTACATTGACCTATATTTAAATAATTTTCACTGGTACTAAAAATATCTGACAATGATATTTCCGTTCATATTTTCGATACATTTAGAACAGTTACTAAATTATTTATAAACAATAACTTGTATTCACACTTTTATAAACAACAACAATAAAACAACATAATGTGCAAATAAACAATAGCAGCATGGTAACTACTTTTTTCATGTTAACATTTACATCCCGCATCGAAAGCCCATCAAAACGGTAATACTTCCTTTAATGTTTGTTTGACCCTCTTTTTATTGTTTTTGTTAATATTCATTCATTTATATTGTTATTACTTTTTGCTCGAAACTTTCTCATTTTTACCATGGCATTGTAAAACAGTTCCGGCATAAGCTAAACTATTTCGAAAATGTGCGCAAAACACCAAGAAGCGCATTTCCTGTTAAAACAAATATCACGAATGGATGATGCTACAGCTCATGCGTAGCACCGCATCGATTTGGTTGTGTATATGGATGATGAGTCACTTCATACTCACCGTAGACGATTTAAGCCCAAAACGCTCACAGAAATGTTTACAAAAATTTAATGTTTGGCCAATGGTTTTCTTTGTTCGTCGTCGGTTAACAGGCGACCAAAATATTCATCTGAACCAAATTTCACGACAAAAAAACCAAAAAAGCAGGCCATCAGCCATGAAATGCAAATATATTTCGACAATTAGACCTTAAAAATGTTCATTACGCAATCACCACAGGAACTCAACAAGACATCAGTCCAATACACAACTGCTGTAGTCATTTAGTGGCTCTGCTTACTCATTCCATAGCCATCACCATCCAAGCGGGCTACCAAAGGTGATATGAGATTTTGTCGTCATAATTACAGGGAATTACGCAGAAAACTCACTTCACTACTGCTTGGCATTTAAGACCTCAGCTATTATTTTGTTTTTTCTGTATTTTATACGAAGCTGAGCTTAAAGAAATAGCTACAACAACCGTTGTAAAAAACAAACAGAAATGATTCATTGTGAGGTTGAATTAAAAAAAAACAAGACGATACTAATTAAGAGGCGCCAAGCGGTAAATGTGGTTAATAAATGCAATAATGTAGACCACTTGGAATTAGTCACAGGGAGTTTTGATCCAATTGCATGAACCTTTGAAATAAATTCGCTAACGCACTTCTTGGGATGTAGTTGTGAAATCGGATGCTTCATTAACAGTTATTTTAGTACATTTGGTATAAATAATTTAAATTAATTTAATGTCAATATTTTGCCCTCAGCGAGGTACACACAACTTTCGAGCTAAAGACAATTTTTGGTGTATAAAAGTTCGGTCTATTTCTTTTTAAGTATTTCTCCTATATACTTGCAGAAGTATCTTGCCCCATATTCCGTATTTTCTAGGAGCAAATTTCAAATGAACTGGCTGTAATGGGGCATTCCGGGTTTTTGATGGATAAAAGAAATGAAAACTGTCAACTTAAATCCATGATCAAATATTCTAGGTCAAATCTCCGATATAAAAATCTCTTCTCATTTTTGGTGTTTTGGTGACCCTAACCACATTTCCAACAGAGGTGATTGTAAGCTGTCATTCCGTATTCTTAGTTGACAACAATTTTTTCGCAAGTATAGGTCTATGTTTCGACATAGCCCCATACAAAAGTCCAGCACTATTTAGTGTAATTTGGCATGGAATGCCAAAGTCCAGTCCACCCATATAAATGACGTCCTAGACTATATAAAGGTCCTAAAAATATTTCCAATGTGGCAGTAATTAAGCATTTCCAAATCTTGATAAAGAAAAGATTATTATTTTAATATAGTTCCCGCCTAGTTTTTGATATTATCTTGAACTTGGGTGAATTTTCCAACCCAAGACTACCATTCTAAAGGTTCCAACATATTTAGGATATTCTGAATATCCACCTCATAGTGTCTATTGTCCGTCTGACTTTCTTTATAAATTGAGCGTCCAATTTCATCTGGAACATCCCCAAAAAAATTTAAGGTTCGACCAGTTCCTATATCCCAAGGGCCAAAATTGAGCTTCCCCAAAGCCAACTGAGTATCCGATTTCATGCAAAGTTTGCATATCATAAAATGTTTACCTAATCCAGATCCATAAGTCTGAGCGATTCTAATACATAGACTACGACTCTGGAGACTGTACAAGAATTGCTATATGAATTTCTCCCACTGTGCTTTATTCATATGGGGTTTACATAAACGTAATTGCCTCCATTTGGAGTTCGAAGGTTACTTCTGTAGTTTTCTGGAAAAAAATACCTCATAATTGTAACTATCAGTCTTTCCTGTTCTCGTGCAAAAATCGGTTCATTCCCCTTTGCTATTTCTTGGAATTTAAAAATAGAAATCTTCCTTTCTTTGACTTCTCATATCAGTAATGTGTGGTAATTCCCAACGATGCAACAGTCAGTATCGACACACTTGACGTCATAGGAAATTTATGTATTTCAAACTTAATTGAAATTACAGTAGAAAGCCTTAAATCTGCCAACTCATTTGTTTTGAGCCTCAATTGACAGGATTCCCTTATTATTGTACACTTTTGTTAGCGTTGTTAGCCGGGATAGTCTCGAATATTTTCCTTGTCTTCTTCTGCTACTTTACAACTTTAAAAATCTTTTATATTAAACTTCTCCTCTTTCCATTTTTTCAGTGGAGGTTTCACTGTAGTGAAGATGCTAGACGAGTTTCAACAGCATACACTCCTATACTTGCTACTCGTATCTTTGGAATTTCCTTGCAATTAGAAAAACCCCCTGGCAATTAGAAATAATACCCACAATATTCCTATTCACATAGCACAGAGACAGAAATGGGAGAATATGGGAATTATATTGACATGTTCTTATCATTCATAATTCTAAGAATAAATAAATGCTTTGTATTTTCTTCTTCTGCTTATGGATTGATTTGTCAATAAGGTGTTGGTAATTCCGCACCTTTTAAAGTTCGTTGATAATAATGAAGGTCGGTTGTTGGCTGTGGAAGTTGCTTGGGTGGGGTTTGGTTAATATCAGCAGTGGTAGTGACAGCCGCAACAACAACAATGAACCTATCATCTGTGCATGTTAATGTTAAATCCCCAAAAGCCGCTTCTATTAGGCCAATTCAAATCACGTTTGATTTTTTTGTAGCTTTTGTTGTATTAATATCTGACATGTGTGTATGTCTCTCAGTCAGCCTGCCTGCCTAACTATAAATGTGGATTTGTTTTGGATTTTTTAACCAAACCACAAAAATTCAATTTGTTGTTAGGGTTTATTCACTCCGTGAAACTAAGCTTTGAAATGCATTTCAGACGTGTCTGAGACGCCCAACACCAAACATATAAATTTACAATCACGTCTCATAATCAAATCACCAACAAGGTCAATAGCGTTTTGGTTTTTTGACTTGTTTGATTTGATTACAGAAAATAAAAACTCAATTTTGATTCATAATTTTTATTTTGGTAATAAAAACATTTGGTTATTCAGCTCGAAATTTCATAATTAGTTGCTTCGTCAATAAAGTCACATCTCGTAGAAATATAGAAAAATAAATTAATTCCTTCTTTTCTTCCTCATTCTATTTTAGCAATGAGAATTTTTACTTGTGTTCTATTGGTAGCAGCCTTGGCCGTCAATGGCTTGGCTGAAAATCTCTGCCTTATTGATGCCAATGTTGCAGATATACCCAAAACCATTCGTTCCGATTTGTATCGTGGCCAACAGGAATTCACTCTGAACATGCTGGAAGCCATACAAAAGGCCACACCAAATGAGAACATTTTCTTCTCACCCTACAGCACATTCCATGCCCTGCTCTTGGCCTATTTTGGTGCTGATGGCAAGACGGAAGAGGAGCTGGTTCAGGGACTACGTCTGCAATGGGCCAAGAACAAGAAACATGTCAACAATGGCTATCGCCTGGAGAAACAAATGCGCTACAGTCGTACCAAGAAAATGCCTTTAGAATTCACTGCTGCCGATCGTATCTACTTCGATAAGTCCATCAATCTGGCTGCCTGTATGAAGGAGAATTTCCAAGATGAACTTGAATCGTTGGACTTCAGAACCAAAGCCGAGGAGGGTCGTATGGAAATCAATAACTGGATTGCCAATGTAACCCGCAATGAAATCCCCGAAATGTTAAATCCTGGTGATGTCACCACCGACAGTCAAATGGTTTTGGCCAATGCTGCCTATTTCAAGGGACAATGGTCGGATAAATTCGATGCCAAAGATACTAAACAAGAGATTTTCTATACCACCCCTAGCCAGTATTCTTTCGTACCCATGATGCATAAACGTGGTGTCTTCAATATGGCCGTTGATGAGAATTTAGGTGCCTATGTTCTGCAAATGCCGTATTTGACTTCACATGATGAGGAAAAGGATTCCGAGATTTCAATGGTCATCGTTTTGCCACCCTTCACCGAGGGTGCTTTGGAAAAGGTCTTAGCCAAATTGAAGCCAGACTCATTGGAAAATGCCTTGAAAATGGCTTCACCCAAGGAAATTGATATTTCATTGCCGAAATTTGAATTTGAACAGAATTTGGAATTGGTACCGGTAAGTGGAAATATAATATTAATATTCCTAAGGTCCTCCTCAGAAGGGGGAGACATTTTTTCTATAAAAAATTTGCCCTCATACTAATTTTTTTTTTTTTTGTATTAATAACCTATCTTCTGCAATTTTTCCCTATAAAAAAATATAAGAGTCGATTTTTATAAACAACAATTTTGTCCTCATTGGTCAGGATATTTTATAGAAAAAGACTGTCTCCATTACTAAGGATTTCTATAGAAATAAATATGTCCTTTTTGCTAAAGAATTCAATCATAAGTGCTAAACAATTTATTTTTATAAAAAAACTATCCTCATTGTTAAGATTTTGTTTATAAAAAAATCGGCCTTCATTACTGTAGAATTTTTTATTTAGAAAAAAATTGTCCTCGATTCTGAGAATTTTTTTCTATAGAAAAAATTGGTCCTCAGCTCTCAGGAACTTTTTTATATATTAAAAAACCCTTCTAACGAATTTTGTGCCTGCCTTCACTTCTGAGGAATTTTTTTCTATAGAAAAACTTGTCCTAAGATCAGATGATTTTTTTCTATATAAAAATCTGTCCTAAGATCAGATGATTTTTTTTCTATAGAAAAAATCAGTCCACAGATGTGGTGATATTTTTTTCTATAAAAAAATTGTCCTAATTTCTGAGGATTTTTTTCTATATAAAATCTGTTCTCAGTTTTGAGGAATTTTTTTTTTCATGGGAAAAAATATCCTTACACTGAGTCTATGCAAAAAAAAAAAAAAAATCCGTCCTATTCTAATATATTTCTATTGTTACTTTTGCAGATCCTTCGCAAATTGGGCATCAACAGTCTGTTCGATCACACCGCCAACTTGAGTGGCTTCTCCACGGAAACAAGCCTGATGTTTGGTGATGCCAAACATGTTGCCAAAATCAAGGTTGATGAGGAGGGCAGTACTGCTGCTGCAGCCACTGTTGTTTTCAGTTTCCGTTCAGCACGTCCCGCCGAACCAACCAAATTCGAATGTAATCATCCATTTATGTTCCTGATCTATGATAATACCGCCAAGGCTGTACTCTTCACTGGCATTTATCGTGATCCCAAGACACAGAAGTAGACAGACAGGCTACACCCATACATCACAATCCGGTGCAAGGAGATTTTATTCACATTTCTCTGCCCTAGGACTTTTTTACTCGTCTCGTCTCGTTTATATTCTATTTGTTTGTTTATTTTTCTTTTTCATCTTTAAAACTAATTTCTACTGCTGCTGCTGCTAATACTATGACATTTGCCCTATTCTCTGTCTATTGTTTTATTTATAAAAATATATGAGGACGTGCTTAATTTTCGTTTTATATGTTTTATTTTTTTATATTATTTTTTGTTTTGTTTATAATTATTATTTTTTATTTTAATTTTATTTAATTTGTAATTTATAAGTTTTTTTGTTTATTTCGAATAAATTATAATAATAATAACAACAATGACCGTTAGGGTAATTTATACAACAACAAAATGAAATACAAAATTATTTCCGTGTTTTATTATTTTTTGTGCAAAGAGAGCAGGCAATTTTTTTTAAACTACCATAGCCATTTCATGATTGCATGTTGAGATATTCATTTGATCGGAAATACTTTCCGAGAAGAAGTAGAATAATAATATTAAATAACTATTGAAAAGCTATTTGAAAGCAAAACAAATATGAGTAATATCACGTGCAGATTTCGAAATATAAATAAGTTGGATTTTTGTTTAAAACAAATTGGTACAATAATTGTGGGAAACCGATAGTGAACAAAATGAAAAATATTAAAAAAATAAAATAATCACTAACGTAGGATTTTTTTTTATAAAAAAAAAAAATAGAAATCATTCACTGATATTTTTTGTTCTATAGAAAAAATAATCCTCAGTAATAGAGTATTGTTCTTTCACAGAAAATATATATCCGTGATAAATGAGAGTTTTTCTATAGAAAAAAGATTAATATTCAGCTACTGAGACCTTTTTTGTATATATAACAAGCAAAAATGTCATTAAGCTCGGATATTTATAACCTCCATTATACCTCATAATGGAGTTTATAAATAGTCGTGCACAATCAAAATGCCTAAAATCTGATAGAAGAAAACGAAATATCAACTTACAGACTTTCATGTTGATATTTTATGTATTCAACTTACCGAACTCTTCAAAATACCCATGTTGTGTATCCCATTACATGGGGGCTATACCAAAAAATTACAGCTGGTTAAAAATCATGCCCAAACTTTTTTTGGAAGGAAGAGTTGTTATTCAATGAAAACGCGGAACATCAAAATCAGTTCAAATGCCAAAAATTTCGAATAATAGAATATTATGCCAATAATGACAATTTTTGTAATGGACGATTTTGTAACCAATTAGAATCCAAAGCAAGTAAAAAAGTGCCAGTCACCGACAGATAGATATATTCCACCTTCGAAAATGATCTAGGCTTTGTAAAGATAATAGGTAATGCAAAGTTTGGTTCAAATCGGACATTTCATTCGATTAATATTGGATTTATAAATATTGAAAATGTTGAGCATTTGTGAGGGAGATACCAGAAGGAGTGGACCATTGGGTCCCATCTCTGGACTTAATGTAGGTATTGTAGAGATAATAGTTTCTGCAAAGTTTTGTTCAAATCGAACATTCAATTTGACTGATATTGGATTTAAAAATATTGAAAATGTTGACCATTTGTGAGGGAGGTACCAGATAGAGTGAACCAATGGGTCCCATCTTCGGACTTCATTTAGGCTTGTTAAAGATAATAGGTTGTGCAAAGTTTGGTTCAAATCGGACATTCCATGCGGCTGATATTCAATACATAAATATTGAAAACCAAATTAGGCACTACATTCGACTGATATTCTATTTATAAATATTGAAAATTTTGACCATTGACACAGGTACCAGAAGGAGTGAACCACTGGCTTTGTAAAGGCAATGTTCTGTGCAAAGTTTGTTTCAAATAGGATATTATAAACTTATTTTTATGCACAATTTTGACCATTTTGTGGGGGATGTACCAGATGGAGTTGACCAATGGGACCGATTTTCCGATTTTCAAATCGGATAGTACGTTCGCATGATATTATAAAATTAATTTTCAGCACGATCTTGACCATTTTGTAGAGGATTTGCCAGAAAGAGTGGTCCCATATTCCCCATTTTCGAATTTGAACTAAGTTTGGAAGAAATATTACGATGTGCAAAGTTTGAACGAAATCGGTAATTCCCTTCGAGAGCTATCGTCGGGACATTTGTATACCGACTACAAATTTTCCGGAACCGGTTAGGTCCAAAGAAAATTGCGGTTTAAAACCAATATTTCGATTACCGTATCAAAGTGTATATACCCTTATTAGCCATAAAGCTGAGGGTGTAATTATTAAGTATAGCCGGTTTGGTTGAAAAACATGTACAAACTCTCCCAAAATATCGAATATCGTGTAAAAACTCTAATATTGAACGTGGACCGATTTGTGATTTCATTTTCAATATTATTTGCATAATATGTGCAAAATTTCGAAGCTCTAATGATTTCAATATAATGACGGACATGGCTCATTCGACATAGAATTTAATTCCGATCACTTAATGGGGTTTCCAATGAATAATTCGAGGTTGCAACACCTCAAAATGACAAATTTTAGTGTATATTTGACGTTATGATAGTAGGTACAAAAATAACTACTATTTGACAGATCTTTTTTTATATGGAAAAAAATATTCCTCAGTAGGCAAAATTTGTTCTATAATCATCCTGAATCACTGATGATTTTTTCTAAACAAGAAAATCAATCCTCAAATTAAAAAATAACAACATACTCATTATTTGTAGAAAAGCATTTGTCTTTCATCAATAGAATATACCCACTCTCTAGAAAATACATATAGAAAATATTTTATTTGAGCCTGAACTAGATTTCATATGTATGTGAAAGACCTATACAAATGCATTAATATGTAGAAGACTTCTATCGATGAAAGAGTTTTCATACACGAAAAGTCGTTTTTCTATATAAGATATCTATAAGGCCAGTATAAGACCTAAAGAAGGGCCTTAATCAAATTAGATTCCTGTGTTTTCATTTATATATAAATTAATTTTTCTTAAGCTCTATCAAAGTTTTGTTATACAGAATGTATTTTACCCATATATAATGATGAGTCTCATGCAATTATAACTGTATGAGGGGTTCTATCTAAAGAATTCCTATATTCGAGGTCATTTCCTTTTATACGAGATTTTCCTATACTATTCATGTGGTATTTATTGTTATTGTTGTTCTCAATTAAAAAAAAATACCGTGATTGTTTTGTGGGACACATGGTGATAAGAAGTTGCAAAGATAGGAGTAAAGTAAGTAAATATGGAACATATAAGATGAAATGACCATTAAGAGATTAAATGTTATTCGAACACAACCAACCACATATTAGACATGAAAATAAACAATTGATTTAATTTTTTGTTACTCAATATAGTCTTTCAAATTTATTTTATTTTCTTTGTGAATGCCAATTTGCATATATTTTTGGTAATATCACAGTGATTGACATTTTTTCTTTTATATATTTTTTTTTCATTGTTAAACATTTACAAAATTGATTAGGTTAACTAAATCAATGGAAAAGAAAATAAACATAAATTTCAAAAAAAAAAATACGTTTTCATTTAAATTGTTTTTCATTGCATTTGCACTTGTTGATGTACACTTTTCAGTTTATTTTCTTTCTTAACAAAAAATACATATATAAATAATTTAACGTTCCTATTTTTCTTCTTTTCCCATTGTATGTATTTTGTGTTAGTACAAAATAATACGAATAATAATATTAATTAATAATTACTGTATACATAATTCTTCTAAACAGGTAAATAAACCCTAAGATTGGCGATCATCGTCATTACAAAAAAAAAATATACAAGTGTCCATGTAGTAAGTGTTTCTTTGTTGTTGTTGTTGTAATTTTAGAGTTTTGAAATTTAAGAAGCTGGAGCAGCACCACACAGCATGTTATTACATATTTACAAATCGTCTGGTTTTGCTATTAGGGCATACAAGGCAAAACCAAGGAACACAATACCACCAACAATGGTAACGGTGCGCACAGAAATTTTGGCAGCCACCATGCGGCCACCAATCACAGCCAAACCGGTGCAAATGGAATGACCAATAACGCCACCGGTAATAACACCATAAACATCCTGCAAGGGAAGATAATGGGAGAGATTAATAAAATATATTTTGATGTACAAAATATATTCCATTGGACTCACCTTAGTTGTGGCCAAAATAATCGTAGTCAATTGAGAACGATCACCCCATTCGGCCAGGAAGGTCATTGTAAAAGCTTGCATCAAAACACGTGTCGTTAAATATGCTGCCGATTTTTTCGTATTCTTACGTACTACACCACTTTCTGGATCCTGTATTAAGCTAGCAGAAACATCACGTTCCAGCTATAAAAAAGAAAAAAAAAACAAAAACGAGAAACATGTAAATATTTTACATTAATTAAATGTTTCGGTATTTAATGATGAGGGAGTGGGTTGAACTAAATTAAATAAAAAAAGAGAAAATAATTGTTTGACACTAAAATGATTTGAGACATAAAGATAAAGTTGAAGGAGGACAATATTGAATACAGTAATAACGAAGAGGGAAAAGTGTAAATTATATAAAAATATGTTTACAATGGAATAAAGAAAATTATGTTATTGGTGATTTGGATGTGGTTGAATGAATGGTTGGTTGATTGATTGTTGAATGATTAAAATCAGAGCTGTAAATTAGTATCCAATTTGTATCAACAGAATTTATATTTTACCATTTTTTCAAAGTATAGTCAAATTATTCAATGTAATTGTTGTCACATATTATTGATTAATTTTTTACATATTTTTCTTATTTAACCATTTTTTTCCTTTTTTATTTTCAGATGTTCCCGAAGTTGCAACCAGACGTTGAAAAACATAACAACTGCAACGATTTAATATAATTTATCCATACTAGACTAGTTTAGCGGAGTTTTAAGCAGTCTTCTCATAATAAAATTGAGAATTTTAAACGATCAAATAAAATGATCAAATTGTTGTGTCTAATGAAGATTGTTAATATCTAAAGATTTCAAACAGTGGAACAGTGTTTCACCGCAGCCGTGTCATATAAAAATATGCAAAAATATATCTCTGGAGCCCATGATTGAACGAAAGTATTACAAGGAAATGAAAAATTGCGGAGTCTTCGTGAAAAAACAATTGAATTAATTTGTGTGAAATGTGTACAGGTACACACATTACATGAATCTCCCGGATCGAAGAATAAGGGACCGTACGTCATCTAACAGTGTAAGTATTGACATTATTTTAGTTAAAAATTTATTTAGTGTATATGGATATATTCTGTCGGTTAAAAATTGCAATATCAGAGGCTCGGAAACAAAATGAAAAAAAAAACATTTTCATCGGGTTAATCTCAGCATAGATTGGAAGTCACATATGACACCTTCTCTTCAGAGGCAGAACAAGCAGTACTTCAACTCAACGTAGTTAAAAAAAAATAACTGAAATGGCTTTAAGTTCGACAGGGAGACAATTCATATAGAAAACGAGTTAAAAACACCGACAAATAGAGGGAATTTATATATTCATGGGAGGAAGCAATTCCTGGGAAATCGTGTCTATAATCGCACATGTTACCTGAATAACATTTTTGTGCGGAGATTCCCTATTCAACTGGAAACCGACCTTAGGATCAGTTCGTCCGATTTTTTAAAATTTTAATAGTTTGAATTACTTTAGGAGAAAGTCTATCGGATTTCGCCACGAAAAAAACTAATTAAAAAATTAAACACAGGATTCCATTATGTATCAATCGGAAAAAATGTTAATTAAAAAGGGTATAAATTTTCCCAGATCCGTGAAAATATGCGATAAAAGCGATCCACCGAAGCTCTGCGAGCCTAAAAGTTGAGACCTATTATAGCTGGTTCAAAATATATCTAAGTGTCACAATGGCCATGGTGCACATAGACTTTTTTGAACCGGGTGGAATTTCTTATATTTGAAGATCCCTATTAAGTATCATATAATCTGAAAGGTTGTTGTTCTTGTCCCACTGCTTTTCACAATGAGGTAAGGTGACATACGTTAACTCAGAAAGACTCAGATCGTTTAGATCATAGACCTCTTTGTCGTGGAGAAGTTGAAGGGTATTGTCATATGGTGCCGCTTCCCTACACGTGTGTTATTACGAGTACCACAAGCGATTAATCAAAACCTATTAATCCAATCGATTCTAAATTTTAACAACAACTATTAGGATTTTGATCCAATTTTTTAAGATTTTCCATTTGGCGAAGTTAAAATTCCTCTTCATACCGGAACCAAACATATTATTTTCTAAGGGAAAAAATGTTTCTAAAATCCTCAAAGTTACCGAAAATTTGAGATTACCGGTATATGGGGGGCTTTACATGAACAATATTTAGGTGTGGAGATATCCCTCTCAATTTGAAACCATGTTGGAACTATGAAGATTTCCCACGCAACTGGGAGCCCAACATGTCAAATTATAAACAATTCGCTTAGAGAGCTTTTGTATTAAGACGGGACCTGAAATAAACTATAAACAACAAAACATTATGATTAAGGAATTACAAAAACATCAAACGTGTAGCTCAATGTCGACTGATCGTCATCCGAAAAAGACTATTTAAGTTTTGATTTCTAGACCTTTAAATCCTTTATAAAATGGAGAAATATAAAATGTTAATCAATTAAATACTTGACCGGACCATTTAAATTTTATCGGTCGATCGATAACAAGTTATACATTTGAAAATGTTAAACATTCATAGGTAGATCGTTTTGACTAAATGAATTATGGCAATCTGCATACCAAAAGTGGTCAATATTTGAAGATGTAAAAAATATCTGAACCCATTATAAAACCTAATTACAACATATTTTTGTAGATAAAAAAATATTCATTTAAAATCGTTCACTACCTTGTTGCTAAATTTGTTCTACGTCGGAAAAAGGTAATCAGGTTGGAGTTCCATGTACATGTCTATCTAATATCTACCTAATAATAAAATAGATTTTGATTTTTCCATCTACGGATGTTAATTAACATCCATCTACAGATGTTAATCTACTCTTTTTGGTTACATTGATAATATGTGACAATAATTGTACCTTTTGAATTGTGATTTATTCACTAAAAGGACCTTCAGAAGGGATAGAGGATTATTGGTAAAATTATTTCATTAGTAATATGATATATAAAATTAAAATAAATAGCCAACATGAACAAACACACAAGTTAGATATACAAAAGGCAATATATAGAACCTTGACCCGCTCCCTGGTTATAACAATATTTTATGGAAATATTTTTGTTAATAAAATAAATAAAAATAATAATGTAAAGAAATATGAAATGTGGCTGGTTAGTAATAATGGCAAGGACCATTTGAGATTTGCCGCGGATGGGTGGAGAAATGGATAAATTGATGGGATAATATGGTATGGGATGGAAATATACCAACAACCGATGAAACTTAAAATAAAATCCAAAAAATGCAATCATAATACACAATGACAATATGGGAATATATATTTGTTGTGGAATTATGACAAATGTTTTCCAATAGAAGGACAACAAATGATGAATGTGAATGTGTGTGCTGATCTTGATGGTATTTACAAAACAATAAGAAAGAAAGAAACACGTCTATTATAACGAAAAAAAAGAACAAAACTAAAAAAAGAAAATTCTATAGAAAATGATAACAACGCCTTAATATCTAAGACGCTAACCCGTTTTTTGCTTCCGCCAAATTGTTTCAAATCGCCATTGGACTGACCAGCAGTGCCATTTAAATTATCGATACTATTATTGTTCGAGTTGATGATGGTGGTTGAGTTGTTGTTGTTAAGTATTGGGCCGCCATTCAATTTGTTCGAGGACGAAGATTTGTTCATATTGGCCATTGCGGAGCTTGAATGAACCAGCACATCGGCTCCACTGGCGCCACGCTTTTGCGGGGTACCACCATTACTTGTTGTTCCATTAAATCTAAGCTTATTAATACTAGAGTTATCATCACAATTGGTTTGATTCGTTTGATTGGATAAGGCGGATGCCGATAATGCTGGGCTGCTGTGGAAAGTGGACATTTTGATGTGTTCATCGTTGTTGCCCTTGAGAAAGGCATCAGCTTCGCCACTATCAATATCAGCATCATGGACACTATCGACGTCTTTGTTCGGTTGTTCACAGCCGTTGCTTGTAATGCTAGATGAATGATTCGATGAGAGTTGTTTGCGTTGACGGTGTTGCATTTCGGGGTTCTTGGTAGTGGACAAGACAGCAGCAGCAGCAGTCGTTGCGTTGGTTGTGGATGATGAGGCGCCCGCGCCGCGTTCCACATCGTTGTCTTCCTTGTCCGAATTGCTGTTTTTGCGTTTGGTTTCGCTGTCGCTGCCACGTTTTGTGCGAAGGAACTGTTAGCCGCCGCAGCATCCAAATAACAATGAAAAATTAAATGAATTGGAGGGATATGCCAATTACAAAGGAATTCAATAGGAAGTAATTTTTGAGTGGGTGAAGAGAAGTGCAGGAAAAAAAAAACAAATTTGCGGGTGTTGATGAATGATAAAGTTGTTGGTAGCCGCACAGCAGTCAGTAGCAATACAATTGTAGTTGTTGTTTTATTTTTAACAGATGATGACAAAAATGTTACAAATTTTTGGTTTTGCATAAGGTGGGTCGTAAAGGATAATGCAGGATAATTTGTTGCAAAAAAACGTAACATTGTTGTTTTGATGATGTTGTGGGTGTGGAATTGAGGGAAGAGATTATTTTCCAAATAATCAAACGTCCGAATGACCATACCAACCAACCACACATTCATTTTTATTCAATAGCGGTAGTAGTAGAAGAGTTTCAATAAAGAGTATATGGAAAAAAGAAAATAACAAAAATAAAAACATCGCATTAAAACGATTCACACACAGTATCTATGTTATATAGCCAATAAGAAATCGTCACATTAGATTTGTTGTTGTTGTTGCTTTCATAATTAAATTAAATGTTTGTTAAACATCGCTGATCCAAACACAAGAAGAATTTAACAAAGGTATTTTATTTAGATACAAATGTGCTGCAAAAGAATACCGTAGGAGGATAGAAAGGAATAGGAGGTAGGATTTGGTATAGTGATAGTAAAGGAGCTTCAGCAGGGATTACAGCAGCAAGGAAAATATTTATTTTAGGATATAGGATTTTAGCAGCAAAAATATGAACACATTCCGGTTAATTACATTATTCTACGATTTCGCTTGGCATGTTCGTAAATAGTGGCGTTTCTTTTTGGAATACTGAAAATCAGTTTTAAATTCTCTATAAGAGACAGTCTACCGAGTTTCGCCACCAAAAATCTAAATCTAAAATTTATGACGTGTGGCACAAGCGATTACCCAAAAATCATAATTCCAATCCATTCTAAATTTTAACAAAACATTCTATTAGGATTATGATCCAATTGGTAAAGGTCTTCCTTTTGGCGATGTTAAAAATCCTACTTCATAACGGAGCCATGAAATAAAATTTATTGTAAGGATTGAAATAAAATCCTTCCACCCTTTAATTATGTTTTCCCCATTTCACTTATTTAATGGCCCAAAAGTGTGTCTAGGTCTAAGGTCCGTCATAAGTCTAAAAGTTACCCAGCCAATTATTGTTCCAAAAACTACCCTTATTCCAAGGTTTTACACCTCAAAATATGAATATGTTTCATATATATTTGGCAAATATCCAATTAATATGCTCAAAATATCCAGTATTCAAGACAAATTCCTAAAATCCCTGTGGCCAATTTTTTTCAAACCTGCTCAACCCAAAAAAAGAAAAAAGTGTGAAGTAACTTTGGTCCCAACAAAATATATTAAACCGTATACCCGAAAATACGCCACTGCCAACTGTATTCTATGCAAAGTATCAAAAATTACCCAAAAAATTAGCATGCATTATGAAAATGATTTGAAAAATGTGTCTTTTTAAAGTTAAGGTTAATAGGAAATATGGACAGGGGATTTGGGGAAATGGAAACTTAAAATGGTGTTTGTGTTGGTGCTATACATAGAAAATTCTCATTTGTTAATGGGGAGAAACAAACTCCCTTCATTAGTTGATTTTGATTAGTATTAGAAATCAAATTGAATTCAATTTGCCTTCAATTGTTAATTTCAATTTTTACAGCAGTGATTTAGTTTGGATTAGATGTTAATAAGTTAATAAACTAAAAAATAGAATCTGTTAGTTTTCGTCTTTCGCCAAATAATATAAACATAAACAAGATATACAAAATAAAAAAGAGATAAACCAAGGAAATATTTACAACTACAAACAATTTTGTTTTAGAAAACGGAAAAGCTACAGGAAAATTGTGTGTGTGTGTGTGTGTTTGGCAAGAAAATATATAAAACGTGTGGTGTGTGTACTGCACATGCTTTGCTAGGCTAACTTCAACCTTAACAATTTAAAATTGGCATCCAATTTTTTTCTATTGGTATTGCTCTGCCGTCGAAACACCAATTGGAGTACCCAAACTAACTTACCTCATCTTCACGTTTACGTAAATCTGCCTGAACTTCTTCCAATTCCTCTTGGGCATCGGTGTCCTTCATGAAGTAACCCTCGTAGATCATTTTCAAACCGAAAAAGGCAAACAATGCTGTTGAAATGTAATATGTATAAACCTTAGGAATAATTGTTGCAGCCACGCCAAACACCACCGATAGGACCGTCATAAGGGCCAAGGCCGTAATGGCACCTGTGAAGACGACCAGACGTGGGTGACGCATAGCCATTATGGCTGCAATGAAAAAAGTCTTATCTCCTAGCTCTGTAAATAGAATTACAGAGATCGATGCTGTAAAAGCATCGAGAAAGCCGGCCTTAGGTTTGGTGGTTTCCATTGTTGGATCTTGAGCTGGTAAATCATTGCCAATATCGAATTGTTCATCTTTAACAAGTATCGCATCATCGTTGGAGACTTTCTGTAAACAAATATAAAAAGCAAGCATTAATAAAAATAATTCCGAAGTAATAAATTTAAAATTTACTATGTGGTAATAATACTAAAAAAATAAAAGAATTAACTCTGTTGTGCCTTTGTTAGGAAACAGACAACAATAAAATGTAAATATTCACTGCTGTTGTTATCTTTTGTGTGGCCGAACACAGATAATAATTTTAACTGCATAGCTGGATTTCTTTATCATTCATACCACTCTCGTTCATACATACCGTGGCTATGCCCATTTCTAGTGCCGTGTCATCAAGGTTCTTGGCTGCATCGATCTCTGCCACGCATATAGTGGAGAACGTCAGCACGGCCATCAATGCCAATAGCATATGTAATTTGGCCGAACGCTTCAGGTAGACATTGTGTCTGGTGGTTTGCCAAAAATACGACTGATTCTGTGACATATTTGCTGCGGAGGTATTGCAAAATTATTTCCGTGGTATATTCCGTAGTTATAACGCAGACACACACAACTTTCGTTCAGTGATTATCTATGACTTGAAGGAGAAGGGGTGGTAGTGTTGCGGATGGTGATTAGGTTGCCGTACTCTAAACAACGTTGTTTCACTTTGAGTGCTGAAACGTTAAAAGAAAATCACAATTAATAGTATGAGCATTTTATTCAGTTTGCCTGTGGTGGCTATCTGGCGACTTCGAAAAGGTAAACATATTATCAACACAAAAATACCCTCTAGATTTAGTTCTGTTGATTTTGAGTGGGCTCTAGATAAGATACATCAACATCATTGCATTGTAATATACCGTATACCGACTCCCCAAACCCCGTTTAGCCTTCACTTATGGTTCTCAAATGATAAGGAAGAAGAAAATGTCAAAACAAAACAAAAAAGTGTACGACTGTTTCTCTATTAGGGTTTTTCGGGGGCAACAATTTCATTGATCACCTCCTATCACGGCATATATTTCTAATTTGCTTTGTGATACGTCAATTTGATTATGGTATATGACATTCTTCGATTTGCGATAATAATTTATGGACTCTGTTTTTATTTCCTTATAATCAAGTTCATATTCACTGTTCATTATTTTATAATATTGCCAACGAAAATGTTTTGATTTATACAGGATGGATATCTAAGCGTTACAGTTGACTGCAAAAGTTGAAGGCAAATGTGGCATACTTTCTCCATCTAAGTTTGTTTTAATATATTAAATAATATATTAAAAAAATTAAATTTTTTTAATATATTAAATTTTTAAACCTACTCAGGTAAATCGATTTCTTCAAGTATACTAGGAACATGATGGAATTGTCTTCAATTTCAAGAAGATATCAAGTACACTGGCGGCCCTAATTTTGGTGACAATTCCACAGCCAGAAAATATCGAATTTAATTTATTCCAAATTATTTTTCTTGAGAATTCATTTGATTGGAATTCACAGAAATAAAAACTTTCAATAACTCAACGTTTAGTTTGCTGGGTAGTTGTGGGAATTTACGCTTCACGTCTCGAACTAATTAGCAGCTTAAGGGAAAATTTACGTGATTGGGCTTAAAAAAAGTACCCATAAAGTCATTAGGTTAGCAACCACAAATTCCTGCAGTTGGACGAATTCAATATACCCTATTGAACAATTTATTTTAGATTTTTGAATTATCGATAGATTTGCATCGACAGTTCTTCATTCTATAATTTTTTTCGACCAACTTCCAAAACCCTATCTCAGTTCATTAAACTTGAACCCGCTTATTTTAATAATGACAAAGCTATAAGTGTTTATTTATATTTACAGTTAATCCATATCAATGTTATGATTTGGAATTAATAAAGATTTCAATAGGTATTTAGAAAAATTAAAGTTTAAATCCCACACTTTTTTCGTCAATGTTGTAAACCTTGTTCGATATTCTATTTTCGGCGCAATCTTATCACAACACTTCATTTGACATGGACGTGACTACATTTAAAGTATTATTTATATGCCATAATATATCGAGAGCGAATGGCCTGTCGTCGGTTATGATTAGAAATGAAACGTATTTTTCGCTGATATCGTGAATATTTTTTGCAAGTACTCATAATATTGTACATACACTTGTTGTTGTGCTATTGTTTTTCATTGATATTTTTGCTTTACTTTAATTTTGTTGCCATAGAGAGCAGCGAACACATGAAATTAAATAAAACTTATTTATTTTATCAATCACAATTTTTAATTGTCTTTGGGGAATTGTTGGCAGAGAATGAATGGCAAATTGATTCTAATATCGCATGTTTGTGTGTTAATATAAAACCCCCACTCCCCACTCGGCAACGCGAAAAAGCCCCCCTGCCATTTGGTTTCATGTGGTGGTTAACAAAAAAGCGAAAGTAAAGTTATATTGACTAGTCGAATCAATGGAATGCGTCATTGTTTTTGTTTTGCCCCACATCGGGATATGTTTTGTTCTTCGTATTTATTTTGACGGGGACAATAGTAGTCTTTGTTGCGAGGAGTGCAAAAGAATTAAATGTTGATAAAAGTTTGGCGTACGTGCATTTTGCTAGCCCTTAATTGTTTTTGTTTATTTACTTAGATTAACAAAGATATGTTTTGAAATGTGGCGACATATTGAATAGACAGTCATCCTACTTCTGTGAAAACGGGGTACTAGTGCTAAGCGACTTTTTTGTACAATAGAAATGAAGGGACTTAACATTTTTTAAGGTGGAGAATCATTTATGTAAACACGCACATTAGGGATTTTTATGAGTTCAATGCCTTTTGTGAAATTTGGTTTGATTGTCAATACATTTACAAAAACAAACTCATCTCCTACACTATTATCAATAATTTTAATTCTTTTTCTGAATGTCTTCTTTCATAAACAAATAGACCATTAGCCGTATGAAAACAAAGATATCCTTAGTTCTTTAAAAATGAGTGTAAGATCTTTGAATAGAAAGAAAAGGAGATACATTTTGAAAGGAGTAGCATGTGAATAATCATTTAAGGCAGCAAACACATTCTCTCAATGGATTTTCAATGCATTTTATGATATCTCATACAATTTTGAAATTGTCCATTCTGCAAAAATAGAGATAAATTATAAATATGGGTACATTGTTCTAAGACTTCTTAATGTAACTCACCAAATTTTGGAAAGTGCTTTGGACATACCAATATCTGAAAGGCTCCATACTAATTACACACGCACTTGAAGTATATAATATGAACTTAAAATGGCTTAAACTTCTGAGTTAAGATATGAGAAGATATAATCAGCTAATCAACTAAATTGAAATAATGTTATAATATTAGATTGAAATCAATGGAAAAAATTGATTCCGTTAAAACAGCAAAACTGTTACAATACTCTTTACTTTTCTTATACATTCTATATCCTTTGTTTTAACATGAGGTCTGTTAATTTTAAGGATTCTAATTATAAGAAAACGGCATAAAAAATTTAAAAATGGAAACCTATTTTGGACATCACTGAGATTTAATTTGGGGTAGGTAGAAGAATAGCTGCTACAACAAAAAATAATTCAGATGAATTTCTGAATATTGAGGAGAATGGATCTAATAGCACTATGGAGTCTGAAATAACATGTCTTTTATGGATATCTTGTATGATACGAATTTAAGGAATGTCATGTTTATAGTCTAGGCCAGCAATTGGAATTGATGGGAATATGAGGGTAATATCGTAAAATCAGACTTTGACTTAAATCGTTTATAAGTCTCCGTTTATAACGGCATTATTCAAAGGTTATAACGACTGTATTCAAAGTCCCGAGAGTAGTTCTGCCCTTTATTTAATGTTATTTATAACGACATATTGCTTTGGGCGATCAATGTCTTCGGTTCCTTCACCGTCCTTATAATCGATTTTGACTGCACGCTGAAATCCTTCTATATGGATCCGGAAAAAGTCAGACAGATTTGACTAACTGAACCTGGCTATACTGTCTCTAAAGTTATCTGAGAAATCCTCCCAATCTGAAATTAGAAAAGGATACCATAATGAAAACTTGATAAATATATGAATATAATTAGGTAAATTATACCCATATGGGAAATCCTCGTAGATTATAATATAAGAACTATAAATTAATCTGCTTCCATTACTTCTTCTGGGTCAAATAACATAAATTTTAAAAGAAGATGCAAAAATCTTTACATCATCCCAAAAATGTTTGATTCTTCAATTTTCCAAAAAAAATACGACGTTTTACTTCTCTTTCAACGTTACAAGTAATTCAGGCTACAACTATATTTGGAAGTCGCTCATACTGCTTCAGTTTATGAAATCTGGACTAGCCCTTGTAAATACTACGAACCATTTATTTTTACGTCCTAAGTCTAGTTTAGGGACACTTGCGGATCGTTTTGAAATTGTTATCACATGTAGTCCTTGGTCACTTGAGAATGCCCTAGCCCATTACAACGTTCTAAGTAATCCATGTGACACTTTCATGAGATAATCTAGTTACATAATGTATATTGTTATTGAATTTCCATTCCCATTCATCACAATGGACATATACAATTTTACAGCATGGTAAGGCGCGCACCGCACCGCACAATTGAATTGATGGCAACAATTCCATTAGCTTTTTTTGGTATAACCACAACCGAAACACCACCGTACCCATGTATGTGTGCGCTTTTAATGAAACAAGTCAGGGTCAACTGATTTCTAATTGATGGACATGGTAAACATTGAGAAGTAGTATTCATCATACATACCTAGCTGCTATAGCTATAACTACGTACTTATTCTCAATTAATGCGAATTGGCGAATGGTTTTATTTTCACAACGGGAACAAACAATCAAGCAAACTGAGATATTTTGATGGTACAGATGTAGATGTATCCAAATATAATGCGACGTCAGAAGGCTATGAACGATAAGAAGGTTTATTCCTCGGTATATTTTTGGCCAGACAAATTGATGCTATTGTCAAATAACGACAAAAACAGATGTTTTTTTCCGCTATTTACATAGGCTGACACATCTCTTAGTCACAATGTTATCATCTCATAAGAGAGTAATATTAGTTCTCTGTCATAAGGAGAGTGTGTGTGGGGATGTCATTCATTAGAGGAGCTCTACACGCGATTTTGTTTTGTTGGGTGCACGAAAAAATGAAAAAAAAAAGTTAAAAAGGTTGTCAAACTTTGTAACAGACCTATACGACGTTTGAGTGTAAGGTACTCTTTCTTCCCTCCAGCAACCCTCTTCTCCCTATCCAAAAAAGAAGCCATATGTCAAAAACAATTTATTTTGTGGAGCTTTTTACTTAAGAACGTTCATTGACATGGAACTTTTACTTCTTGGTTTGGTTATTAAAATTGAAATACCCAGTCCGCGCCACACGGGCACACGAACAGACACACATACATGCAAACTGTTAAGACAGCTGGTGAGAATAATTGAAAGCAAATTATAAACAATATACGAATGTATGTACATATATCCAAACAAATCTATTAA